TCTTATTCCTTTAATTAGACTGACTACCATGAAAAACGATCCTAGGAGCTGTCTGTAACTGCAGTTCTCATGCACCTTGCAAAAAATTTTCAACGCGTACTGCTTTTAGCGGGGCGTGGTTCCATTTGGGTAGGATGACGCCAAGCTTCGTTCATCAGTAAGGCGGTAGGTGGCAAGGCCACGCAGCAGCCTCGGCTGTTGCACGAATGGACAGGCCCGTCCGGGTAAGTAACACGACCTCAAAGAAGACCAGCGTAAAGTGGAAGTATGACAAATACTTTCGCGTTTCGTCTGGTGAGTGAGGTAGCCAGAGCCCAATTTTCAAAAGGTTGTCAACGCATCTGTAACTCTCGGGTGTAGCAGACGTCCATGGGCGGCGGTATTCAGGTAGGCAGTATTCACTCACCATCAGGTGAACCGTCTGCTCGTTTGGCAACTTTTCACATAAAAAAAATCGTCACTCGATACGTCTACCAAATTTATGCAAACGGTGGTCACTTTGCCAAACGTGGTCATCTAGCCTAAGCGGAGCTCATATTCGAGAAATTGTACCGTAAGAATGTAACTGGACACTTTGCAATTGTAATCTTCTTTACTTTTTTCCCGTTTACTTTATTTAATCAAGCATTGTATTTATAATTTGTGATAATTATACACTCATACCAACAATGTGATCCCGCAGGATAGTGATAATGATACCAATCGAAATGATGTCCAATTGATATTTGCACCAAAGACGAGTTTGGTAAAGTAGTATTTGCAAAAAGGAATAATTTTCTTGTTTTCTGGGTGAATTCTTCTCACAATCCCATTTTGACGGTTTTGGTTCTAAATAACCTTTAACTCTATGGCACATATTTTATTCGAAGAAGAAAAAAACCCTTTTTTACAAGTCTCAGAATATGTTAATGATGATATGAGACAAATCCAAAAGGAACACATATGTATTTATATCAATCATTTACTATCCATTATGACAAAATGTAACAAATGATAAATATGCGTTATTATGACATTATTTTATCGGAAACCTCGTATAATTTTATTGTAAAATTTAAAAAAATCGTCATTATCGTTAAAACGATTGCCGGGCGGGCAAGCCAGTCTATTTAGTTAGCTATACTCATAAAAAATCGCAATCAATTCCGAACGTATTTGGCATATTCTTATCGCTCAAATTCAGGGTCGCGGCCCCGACTGCATACATTGTAATGAAACGCGTAATTAAACTTAGCCCCCGGTAACTAGGTTCACTTTATCTGTATGAATTGGGAGCGGAGCTGCTTGGCAACGCGTCTTTGTCTTTTGTCTAAATGACGTTAACGCTTTCGGTCCCGAGACTATTAAAGGTTCAGCGAACGCAGAAACCATGGGCTAGCCAGAACCCACGGGTTTGAGGCCCTCCACAGCGGGTAGAGCCGCGCATGTACTCATGCGTGCTTAAATTAAGGAGTGTCGGCTACGTGCTATTGTGGTTCGGTGCGGACCGTGACCCAAATGGCCGTTGACTGTGCTTGGTTAGTAGGTGGCCGGGGGCGGTGAGAACCGCCCTGGAACGCGGATGTACCTAGTCTATTGGTTATGGTGTTTGTTGTTGCACTAACTGTATGTGTATTGTTATCTGTATGGCAACGCGTCGACTATAGTTGTAGAGTTGCGTCCTCATAGGCTTTACAAGTTGCCTCTGTTGTTTCACGAACGGCCGCCACTTTACTAATACGTGGCAAAGCATCTGTAACCCTATGGGCGTTGCAAATGTCAATGGGCGTAGGTTAACACTTAACATCAGGTGAACCGCCAGCTTGCCATCTTCTTTAATGAAACGTAGTGAAGTATCAGTCTCGCGCAGTGCAGTGTTATTGTGCTATGTGGTGGCGAGTGACGCGGCTGGACATTCCTACTTGAGGCGTACATTGGCCACCTATATCGAGCCGCTAGCTTTGCTATCTTCTCTCAAGCACAGATTTTTTTGCGCGAGCAGCTGTCGAGAGTTAATTGCTATGCACGCTCCGATCTCTTATCTGCTCTCGGGGAAAAAATCGAGATAGCCGCGCGGCCGGCAACCTCAAGTTGAATATCTGAGATATTCAAATGTACCTGATTAATGGTGTTATTGCTTTTAGTTGGCATTACTCTAGCTTGCCTCTAGATTTGAGTTCTAGCTATCGCTTCTGAGCATCGGCCCACCATTTTTTTTAAATTACCTAATAAAAATATGGTTTGTATAGGAATAGTCGTCTCTTATGTACGCCGTAAGGAGTTATAGATAATGCCCGCATTCGAGGTCAGTTCCCAGCGCCCTTAGCCTCTGATTAATATATCAGATACAATCAACGGCCATCGGCCATCAGGGTTCAAAGTCCGTACCGAACCTTGATGGCCCGTAGGTGACATCTCAACTCAGTGGCCCATAGTTGACATATCTCCCGTTTAAGACACACGCATGAACACAAGCGCACCTCTCCCAGACGCATAGGGCTGTATCAAGATCGTGGGTCCTGGCTAGCCCACAAGTTCTGCGCACGATGAAGCTTTAATATTCTACGGACTGAAAGCGTAAACATCCAGTTACTAGACTCCCAGCGTGAGTAACTCGTTCTTGGGACGGTCTATACACGTCTACAACAAAATCGCGGTTAATGCGCAAAACCTGTCTATTTAACAGGTTTAAGAAATTTATTAAAGAAAAACTTTTTAAAAAGGGTTATTATAACATAAATATTCATTTAATGATAACAACCAATGGAAATGAGATGATCGTTACTAAGCTGTTTCTAAACAAAAATTATGTACTGTATAACAATATAATGGTTTGAGGAAAGCAATTAGTGGTAGATTTCAAAAATGACTATCAATGAAATGTAACAAGATGAAATGTATATTTCTTACTTCTTAAAATAAACTTAACGATAGCTAATACTTTAGATTGAAGACAGGCAAAAAGAGTTTGTAAGTTTGCATTTCCTTCGGTGTGTAAGGTAACAGAAAGACAATACCTTCAGTAATTGGCAGGCTCTCAGTAAATGGGAGCTTGCCGGCTATGTCTGGTATTGGGAGTATCCATGGACCCTCACTGTAACGTTAGGAGTAAATCTCTAACGAACATAATTATATTATAAGCTTTGGCGTAACAAAATAAAAACAACTCACAAGAAAGATATTAACATTTTGATTGTTTTAAGGTTTTTACACATTATTGACGTTCGGCACATTACTGAAAGTAGATTTATCGGCTTCGGATTTTTCAAGCGGCACTGTTGTTAATTTCATGTCGCTGTGCGCGCATCTTAAAAATCCTCATAGCTTTCTCCCTAACGCCCCAAGGAAGATAACTTCAAAAATATTCTTTGATTGCTGTCTAATTGACGATATGAAAATATTATAAGGGCAAGAAGATCGAGCAGTGGAAAAAGCGTTCAGCCAACGTGATATCGGTGCGGCGTTATCAGAACACAAATGATTACCGCTGTCCAAATAAATCCAACATCGCACGTGACTCTCCGCTCTTATCAGCTGTCTTGGCGACATTTCGCGCGAATGTGGGTCATCGAAATAGGCTCTAGTTAAAAGAAGAAAGAGATACACATTTGTTTCACGTCATCACATATACGGTGTGAAGTTCTTCTCTCCACAGGTCAAGATTCAATCTCTGGACAGGTCAAGGTGGATCGGTAGTAGGTTTTTGAATTTTAATAAGGGATTTAGGCAGAAATTAAAATTCTCACCCACAGATGGGTTCAAATTGGTTGATGACTCCGTGGCGCAGTCGCTAAGGTATCGGCTTTGGCGTCGAGGGTCGTGGGTTCGATTCCCACACGGGACAACTATTTGTGTGACCCACAGATAGTTGTTCCGGATCTGGGTGTTTGTCCGCGTGAAATTTATGTTTGTAAAACGTCCTTACAACACAGGATAATATTATCCTAAGGCAAGGACAATGTTTTTAAAAAAAGAACAAGATAAAATTAGGGATGAATCCGGACATATAAATCGTCCACTTATAAAGTTCATAATAATTAAAAACTCGAAAAGTTATCGCCGCTGCGGGAATCGAACCCGATGTCTTCCGGATTCACGCTTTAACCACTAAGCTAAACGGCCGATTGCCACACCGGCGAAAATCTCAACGGATTTTGTCTAGACTGTTTTTTTCACATTTTTAGCAGACAAAAACTTCAAATGTCGTTTTGCAACAATAATTCGGACGAGATATGCAGCAACGGTGAAAAACTTTTCGACCTTTTTTCTAAAAATTTTGATGTTCCACGTGAAAAAATTTCTTTCTACAAAGTTTAATGTTAATTGAGTGCAGAGATAAGCACAATAAAAATTCAAATTTTTATTAATAACTGAAGTTAAGCAACACGTATTTCTTTTCAAAGCACCAATATACGTATTTAAAACCTAAGGTTTGGTTTTCTGATTCGATATCTATGCAGATGAAGTCTCGAGAATAATTTAGCCGTTAATTAGTATTCTCTGTTAATGTAGCCTCGGTCAGGGGCATTTGCCTTTAATTCGGCATTCGATAACCTGGGTTAAAATACCCGGCACTGATGACTTTTTTTTTTCTTTTTACCATTTTAAGTGCTAAAAGGCGGATTCTATGGTTAGTGAAAACATCTGTATCGAAGAATCGTTAAAAGATTCACATCTTTACATAAAGTTTACTCTCCGGGCAACGCACACTATTTCCTAATACCATCTGTATGGAGCTGGTGATGATAATGTTTGGGTTTTCGAGTACTTTCGGTATCCTCGAAGACGAACCATCTTGTTCTATTTCATAGACTTATGACGGGTGTTCCATCTTAAAGGTATTGTTCAGTCACATTTAAAGTGAATTAACATCAACTGATACATATAGGCGGCAGCTATAGGCCGTCCAAATCGCGTTGCAAACATACATACGCGGCAACACGCAATAAAATCAAATTCGCTGACCGCTCAATACGTGCTATATATCGAACAGACGCAGGCGTCATTACCATTAAGAACGCATGCCAAACAGCCCCTTAAAGCTGCGCGCGAAAGCCTACAACCGCCTGGCAGGCCGCAAAACCGAAGAGTAAACTATCGTCGACCGCCGTACGAGAAAAATGCACGTAATACCAAGAATTCGCACTAATAAATTGTATTTCGCAAGCGTTAATTTCCATAATGGTAGGCGGTTTTTTCGGCCAGTCCTGGTGGAGACGCGGCGGCGACGGCTCCATTGGGGGGTAGGGGTCTTGCTGGGCTGTTCGACGCCTCGGTATGCGTTACTCGACGCCTCCATTGCGAAGCCGTGGTTATTTTGCGGAGTCAGCCGAAAGCCACCGGTCTGCGGAAGGGCTCTATTGTCGCGTTCGCTAGCTACCATTTCAACTGCGCAAGCGGAAAGTTATAGTGCCGCGCTGGCCGCCGAGAGCGTCGTCGTAAAAAGCTATGTCGTAATCAAACAATGAATGACTTTAATTTTTATAGGGTTCAGTACCCAGAGTAGTAAAAAAACCCTATTACTAAATACTTCGCTGTCTGTCCGTCTGTCACCAGACTGTATCTCATGAACCGTGATATAGAAAGTTGAAATTTTCACAGATGATGTATTTCTGTTGCCGCTTTAACAACAAATACTAAACATCAAAATAAAAAACATGATTTTTTTTTTGCTTTTTTTAATCGATAATACGGAACCCTTAGTGCTTACTTCTTAGTATTCAAATATTTCTAATTTCAAAACAATCGACTACTTTCAATTCGGGTTATGCTTAATTTTTTCGTTAAGGACAAAATTTAATTTATTTTTTTTTACTAACGAAAAACAAAACCGACTTCAAATATCACGGTCTGTATTCATTTTACAATTGATTTTCAAGATTTCCCTTAGTATATCCGGATCCCAAGATCCAATACCAATGACATTAACAATGGGAGACCATGTTACAACCACCATGGTACCAGCTTTAAAATAAAAAAGAATCATTAAAATCGGTTCACCCAATCGAAAGTTCTGAGGTAATAAACATAAAAAAATACAGACGGATTTAAAACCTCCTTTTTGAAGTCGGCTAAAAATTTTAATTTCGAACAGCAATGGCGACATCACTCGTTCCAATTATCGTTGTAAATCGATATTTGAAATTGTTTATGTACTGTAAAGGAGGTAACAATAAATGCGCAAAGCATTGCTTAAAAGGCGAAAAAAGCCATGTAAGTAAATAAAATACGTTAAGATTTACATAGGAGACGCAATCACCCGCTTAGCTTGGTGGTTAAAGCGTCGTAAGAGTGATGAGCAGCGTCGAATAACTTTTCGTCCATTTTACATATTTTATTTCCAACACATTTCAAAACCCTAATTGAATTGGCTATTTCTGCCAATTTAATTAGGGTAAAAGACGATAAATATCACCTATATATAGTGGACGAAATAATTTTTAAAATCCTTGCATGGCCCTCGTTGATAAAAAAGATCGAATGTCTTAAATGTGCAGGCAGCAGCAGAGGTCTTTACTATTGCACGAATGGGCAGGATTTAATAAAAGGTGGTAACGCATCTAAACCCAAGGGTGTTGTTGCAAATATCCACGACGGACGTTACTTAACATCAGGTGAAGCGCACGCTCTTTTGCCACCTTTTCACATTTCACACAAAAAAACCTAAATTTCGAAATTTGGACAGAACCAAGACGCCGTTGTGACGAATTCTACATTTGAAAATATTCGAAATCCAGAAATTCCGGTTTCACCACTAAGCCGCAATATCATCTATCATTTCGAAATACGAATTCGAAATATTTATATATCGACCGACCGCCAGATAAGTTACGGTTAAGTTTCAACTGAGTCAATAACGTTAATTCCACCTCCCGGCCGTCTTCGGCGATGGCCACAAGTTGTTGACAAGTGGCTGAATGATAAGGTCTTCTCTCGTAAGTTACGAGGCAAGCCGTCTCGGAATTTCTTCATCAGGCCGCGACAGCTTTACGCGGCGTCCGGAGCTAAAATCGTATACTTCATTATGGCTGGTACATCAGGTGGGCCTTATAAGGCGCGGCCGAGAGATCAGTGCTCGGTACGACAAGAAAGTAAAAGATGGACTGCTTAGGTAGGGCTCATAAGTAACTTTTACTGGGTCACTTTGAAACATTGTCAATTGGCGAGGTCTACTCGCGGGTGATGAAGATCTACAATGGTGGAATTGACGCGGCGTTTCTATCGTTATATTATCGACAAGACAGTGGCTGGCGTCTCAGTTGTGACGACTTGGTCTCTCGGTCTGATATCACTGGTTCGAATTACAGTTACCACCAAAGATTTTCCCGTTTTATAATAACAAACGTGCAGAAAATTTCTTTTAACTTCTTCTGTTCATCCTGTCTCGTTTTCGCTATGTCCATTGTACGAGATTTTTCCAGTAGTGGGTATCGAATCCACACCCTCTGACGCAATGGACACTGTCCAGTACGCCAATCGAGTCGTCAATGATAGTCAACAGGTCAAATGTGAGCCTGCCATTCGTGTAAAAGCAACATCTTAATCAACTTGTAACCGTAAACTAGAGATTCCATTAAAGTAAAGTACCGGCCTATAAATGTCCCCCTGCTCGTAAAGGCCTCATCTGTAATGAGGGTGTATTAGGGCCTAATCCACCACGCGACCCCACTGCGGATTACCGGACTTCACAAATTTTCGATACATATAGTTATATAGTTTTTTATTATTACTTAGAATATATGCTAGTTTCCTCCACCGCTGAGCCCGTGATAAGTCAGCACTTATCACGTGCTCAGCGGCTCAAGTTAGAATTAACAATTCCATTTGTGCCGGCACCGGGGATCGAACTCAGGTTACTCGAGTATATTGAATTAAAAGCGATCGCACGGACAATGAGCTATCGCGGCTCCCGGTTGTGATTCCAGTATAAACATTAAATGCGATATTTTAATTGAAAATCCTAAGATTTGCAGAGCGGTTAAATAAAGTCCCAGGGAGGCAGGAACGCGAAATGCGAATGCAAAAGTGTACCTTCGATCATGTTTAACCTGAATGACATTAAAACGTTCGTAAGGTGCACATTCGGCGTCCAATAATTTATTTACGAGCGGTTTTTTCCACGGCACAAGTTTAGGGGGCTTTAATGAGTTTAATATGATGTTTACATTAGCGAACTAACGAGTGATGTCGCTCTCGGCATAATTATGGAGGATATAGAGGTTTCTTCACTAGTGGTGACACAGTACCAGTCTCCGGCGGATATTCCGAAACATTCCAGCTGCCGGATTCCTATTCTTCAAATAAAAAACTTATCTTGGCGCGTTAGACATTTTTTAGATAAATAAAATAATAACAAACAATTCTAATTCGAAGTTATTTAAATATCTCGTGAATACCGTATCAATTGTACTTTTTTTTTTAATTTTTTATGTGAAAAGTTGCCAAACGAGCAGACGGTTCACCTGATGTTAACTGAATACCGCCGCGCCGCCCATGGAAATCTGCTATACCCGAGGGTTCCCGATGCGGTGACAACCTTTTGAAAATTGGTCTCCGGCTACCTCACTCACCAGACGCGAAAGTATTATACTTCCACTTTACGCCGGTCTTCTGTGAGGTCGTGGTACTTACCCGGACGAGCCTGCCCATTCGTGCAATAGCCGAGGTTGCTGCGTGGCCCTACCTCAGTGACGTCTGCAGTCGTTTGATGGCACGATGTATTTCAAAGGGAATGTAATAGATCTTCTAAGTCGCTGGGATTCATTAACCAACCCCTTTCGCACAAAAAAAAGCATATATTTAAACATTGGCACTAATGGTAACCAAACATACAATCATAGTATATACAGAGATATGACCCAAGCGCACTAAAGTTGCGGCACTCAAATGACACCGCCTATTGTTATATCACAAGTCTATAGACTGCTATCTCTATCCGTATCATACGTGATATATCAAATGTCGCATGCATTTATAATTATGTCATATAATGTAAAGCGGAGCAATTTTTAAACGCCGCGCAGTACGAACATACGTCATCTACATTATTGAACATCAATGCGAATGGATAATCTTATCCTGTAAACGAGCAATTCTTGTAATATATATATATATATATATATATATATATATATATATATAATCGGAATCTCGGAAACGGCTCCAGCGATTTTCATGAAATTTAGTATGTGCGTAGATTCGGGGGCGAAAAATTGATCTAGGTAGGTTTCATTTTTAGAAAATGTCCTTTTATCCCTGTTTTCAGGGAATGAAAAATATAATTCGATTATGATAATTCGGTAAATTTCGCCGCAGGAGAAAATGTCATAATAGCTCGGTCGGTAATCGGGCGGCCCCAAAACAGACGGCCGTGGTTCGTATCACGATCATTTACACATTTATTTTTTTACTTTTTTTTCGATTCCAGATCATTGCTTTCTTTATTTTTAATTTTTTGTCGATTTGTTATTTTGTTACTTTTTTCCCTTTTTTTTAAAGTTTTTTCTTTTGTGAAAAACATCAGTTTATATTTTCTTATTATTACGTCGGTAAATCGTAAAATATTATGCATATAAAATATTATGTATCTAAATGTAATTTCCAAACAACACGATTTACCAAAAAAAAAAAAAAAAAACCGAGCAAAGCTCGGTCCTCCGGGTACTAATAATTGACAAATTTTTTTTTTTTTTAAAAATTTTAGGACACGTTTTTACACAACATTCTCTAGTCCCTAACTAAGCAAAGCTTGTACTATGGGTACTAGAAAACTGATAAACATACATAAACATACTTTTCTTTTGTAAATAAATACATATTATACATATATTAACACCCAGACACTAGAAAAATACTATGTTCATCACACAACATTTATCCAGTAGTGGTGATCGAACCCACACCCTCTGGCGCAGGAGGCAGGTACACTACCCACAACGCCATTCGGGTCGTCAAACGTCAAAACACGGGCCGTCGCCCGGTAGATTAATCCTAGAAGAGATCTAAAGTATCGTGCTCCAAGTAATCACATTGAGGGAACGCCCCAAGATGTTAACATTAGATAGATAAATAAAAAAAATAAAAAAAAGATAGGGTAATACAACGCCGCCATCGGTGCCACGGGGATTACCCCACTTCACGAGTGAAAAGCGAAAGTTTGAATGCTTTACAACGGCCTTCCGTAGAGCAGTGGTATATCTCGAAGGTCGGTCGAATTTTCTGCAACGGCCGAAGCTTTAATTGTTGTAGAGATTTTGAACTTAATCCTACATTATAAGATAAGATAATCCTGCGCCGTTGAGGCGTTTTACAAACGCTAATTAAACAAGAAGTATCCGGTTTCTCCAATTAATATTTTTTAAAAATTTGTTCATTAACGACGGAGTTCTGAGGTAACAAATGCAAAAA